AAATTGCCCCAAAAATATAATGATGAATTAGGAAATTATTGTAGATACAGAAAACTTGTGTAAAAAAACCTGAAGATGAGGCAAGGGAAGTTTTGTGTCATAGCTTTGGGTCAGAAGGACTGCCTGAAAACTGTTCATGGCTCTTAGCTGTTCAAAGGTACTCCCATTAAGCTTGAAACTTTTCACTGTAGCTTGAATCGTGAATTTGAGACTGCTCTTCTCTTACCTGTTACTTCATTTCTCAAAATCAAAGTGTGTCATGTTAAAAGTTAAGTTTGTACAGAAAAGTAAAGGAATATTTGGAATGAAGCTGGGCCTGGGCAGAAGGCAGCTGGGGGTGGAGGTGCTTAGTTTTAGCCTTTGTTTCTCACCATCCAACTCTATTTGCAATAAATTAATTTTCCTGAAATCAAGTCTATTTTGCCTGTGTCAGTACCTCATAAGTGATTTTCTTGTAATTATCTCATCTCCTGATCTTTTCTATATTCTGTTCTTCCCTTGTGCTATTGAGGGAGAGGAGGAATGTAGCAGTGGCTTGGATGGATATAGCCATGTTGTAGATGCCTAAGGTCAAGCCCACCAGAGTTTTAAAACTGAATTGTCAGCTGAACCTTTCAGGTCACCATGAAAAAAGCAGAACCATGAGTGTCTCTGTCTTACCAGTGCGCAACTCTGTTCACACTTCAGTGACAACTAAGTTCTCTTCAGTGAGGAGAGTGAGACTAAGCCTTTCATTAGTGGCAGCAGTATCAAGCATCCTCTGCCTTGCCTCTGTATTGCTTGTGTGTTCAGGAGTGGAATGTGGACTTTCTTTCACAGGAATGTAAATGTTTGTCAATCCATGCAGGAAATGTGAGGTTTGAGTTCTGGGTGCTCTGAAGCCTGAGCTCAGTGCTTGCTTTCTGGGTTTACCAGGAGTAGGGCTTTAGTACTGAGCAGCTAGATGTGAAAATCTTGGAGAGGGAGAAAAAACTGTGATGTGGGGTGGGGATATCTGGTTTCTGTCATCTTATGCTTAGAAGAAATTATAAAGGGGGTTTCAGGGTGTCTTTGGTGGTATCTCAGAACAGGAGTCTATTGTGGCATCAGATACTCTCTGGTTGTTAAAAGTTTGCAGTGTGTCCCAAAGTGAAGAAGTTGCCTACAAAACCTTAGCACTTCTTGTGAATGGCAAATATCATAATATTGCAATTTATAATTAAATAAACACTATAGGATGATGAGGGAGTTTGCGTCAGGATGAAATAATGAGATTTTGGGGGATTTTTTGTTCCTATAAAGTAGTGAAAGATAATTTGATTAAAAGTTGCAATGGAAAGCTATCTTCATGAAGAAAATGCCAGCGATGGCTGTGGAGGTGCTGAAAATTCAGGCTTTTTAGGAGCGGCAGAGTCTGGTGCTGCCACAGCTTCTCAGAAGAGCTTGTAAGCTTGAAAGCTTATCTGTCTTGTGTAACAACTGCTCTAGTAGCAGTTGCCCATACAGACCTGGGTATGATTTGTGTTTTTAATTAATATTTCAAGGGAATAAATGTCCAAAAGTGATTAGTGGCAGGTTCCAGCGGATGGCACTGAGAAAGAGAGCATTATCTCTTTTAGGATGAGTTACTCATCTGAGAGAACAGATGTTTTGGTAAGGTCATGCAGTGTTTGGCTTGATTGTCTGCCTGGTTGAGGACCTACATCTGCTGTGCATTTTACGAAGGTGGTAAAGGAGTCCACCAGGAGGGTTGAGGTGGGAGACTAGAAAAGGAAGGACTGTCACACAAATTAAGGTACCCTTCACCTGAGCGATTTTGGGGGCTGGAATTTAGCTACCACAGTTAATGAAGAAAATGACTTTGCCTGAATAATGCATTGGCTCAATACATCACGTCACCTATCTCTGCTGGTGGGTCTCATGAGTGTCATCAGTTAATGTGGGCACTGGAGCAGCCTGGCCTCACTCTGCTGTGGATGCTCCATCTGCTTGCCTGACCTTGAAGGCTCCTGGAAAAGCTCAATTCATATCTCCAGCCCCAGTGGGAGTAACTCAAGCCCCTTTGCCTTAGGTGATAGCCCACTCTTCGCAAACTTCAACAATTGTACCTGGTTTGCTGCATGGCTTTGAACATACCGTGGTGCAAGCACTGGTTATGGCAGGAGAGCACCGTTTGGAAGGATCAGCTCTCTGGGTGACTTTGGGCTGATTGTGTTGTCCCTGTGATCACACAGAGACTGGATCTTCTCGGCAGGGGCCTCTCAGGATGTGTCACACAACGTACTTCTAGTTATAAATGCAGAAGAGATCAGATAGTTTGGAAATAATTTACTCCTGTGATTATTGCTCTTGTGAATTATAAATTACCTGAAAGGCAGAGCAGTTCGCAGCCAGAGTATTTGCTCTTTAGACCAGCACTCGAAAGGCTGCTTTTAAGAAATAAGACTTGGAGAACAAAAGGAGAAGAAAACACGATGAAAATTTAGTTAAATGTAAATGTGTTAAATGGTACATGAACTAGTCAGGTTTTCATGATTTATCAGTTTTAAACTTCAAAGGCTCTGTTTAGCTTGCATTTTTAAAACTAATGAGTTTATCACAGCCAGTGGGGAAAAAATGGTTCAAGTATATCAGCTGTAAATTGGTACAAAGCACTAAAAGGGACATTAGCCTCTAATCAGATTCTAACAGTTCATTAAACCTGCCTTTCCTCCGTGGCACTTTGTCTTCCCCCCTCCTTCTGCCTGTGCCTCCTGTGTAAGCCAGCCTCATCCCTTTGCTCAGATGGGTAGAACTTCCTCAGGGACACGGTGCAGCATCAGCTCATCCTTCTTTGTCTATGAGCTAAACAGCCTAAGGGGTGTTTGATGATGGTGTATTCCTGATCCTGCTGTAAAATTCAACTGTGCTGCCTATAAATCAAGAAAGCAGAGGGACCTCTCAACTTGCAGAATAGGCACTGGGGGAGCCAGGAATGCCAGGCTGGCTTCTGCTCTTTATCCACCTCAAACCACAGCCAAACTGATGAGGCTCAGTGACACCTGAGGTCTGCTGCTAATAAGTAAACAGTGCAGGGCCCTTGCTGGGGAGAAAGATGTAAAGTCAGGTACAATTTCATCCAGCCTCTTTGAGGCATCAGACACTTCCTGTGTTTTTTCCACCTTGTGCCTCAAACACTGAATAAAGATCAAGGTGCACAAAATAATTTGCTCAGCAAACATAGGAAGAACTTGTTTTTCTTCCCCTTCTTGTGTCAGCTTTTAAAAGTACAGTAATTGCACAGCAGCACCATAGCATGGAGTGAGACATCTCAATAGCTTGATGGGTTTCCATTCTCACATGTTTGAATGCACAGGTGTCCTGCTGAAAATTAGTTGTTCAATCTGAAATTTTATAGCTCTAAGCCCTTAGAGCTTTTTGTGAATGATCTACATCTACTTATAAAGGAAAGAAATAGAGATTGCACTTGCTTATCTGCTTTACCATCAAGCTTCTTCCAGTCCGATAGTAAGTAACCACAGCTCTGGGTGCTAAAATACACAGGACTTAAAGTGAGGGTGACAGGGATTTTAAGCAGATAATTTGTTCTGCTTTTGGCAGCATGTTGGGCATATCAGTTTCCTTTTTCAGCACGTTCTTTAAATTGCAATAAAGGAGTGTGCAAAAAACAAACAGTTTCTGCAGTATTTATATCCTGAAAAGTGGAGGTCCTGGGATGAGATGTATCAATTGGAAAAAAGAAACTATTTAAAGTAGTTTAAGGTTTTAAAATGTAGTTTTGGAAGCTCCATTCTGATAGACCATTTTCCTTAAACTTCCACTGGAGCAACCATGATAAGAAATAGGCTATGAATACATTCCTTACGAATAATGGCACCATGCAGTGCTGAATGGATCTGCTGCCTGTGAAACACAGGGAAAATGTGTTTTTTTCCATTCTCATGCAGTTAGAGGACTATGAGGTACCAGAGCAGAGGTGAGTTTCCAGTCTAGAGTCTTCCAGACAGGGCTGCAGAGTAATAATAATAACTGACTGTGAATGAGTCACTTGTAGGTGGCGTGTGCTCCAGTTACATTGTTTGAAAAATGGGTGTGATGTCTCCAGATTTCTGTAGCACTGACCAAGGTGTCTGCTCTCATTCTAACTTGAAGGATAAAATGGTTTTTATTCTCTCCGTGTTATCCAGACTAAATGGCAGCTGAAGACACTTGCTTTCAAACACCAGCCTTGAGCCTTGGCTGGAGTAGAAAATTGATTCAGGTTGAGGTGCTGTTTGAATTGAAGGCACAAGAGGATTGTTTTGTATGTCCTCATAAACTGCTCTGGTAACAGCAGGAGTGTTGATTCAGAGAACCACAGTTCTGCAACTATTTTCCAGCTTGAAGCTCTCAGCATATAGTGCCCATAACTACATGGACAGTGCATGTTTTTAACTTGCTTTTTTATCTCTCTGAGATAATTTCTTTTGTCTCAGAGGTGTGTAGAGATTTTCATTAGCAAATGCTGATAACTTTATAAGACAATGGTAAGAAATGTGAGCAATTGTGTATTAATTTGTAATATGTGTGGGTACAGGCCTTCACTGTAACTTCTCTCCATAAAAGCTTTCTCTATCAGAAGTACAAGTGTTTTGACTGAAATCAGCTATATCTAAGCATACTGCCAAAACCTTCAAACTGTTTGACACCACTGCTTTCCTTTTCAGTTCTAAAGCAAGGAATTAATATACGTGTACCTGTGTAATTAATTTCAAATTACGAAATAGTAAGTGGAGATGATTTTTCCTTGTTGCTTACGAAGACTTAGTTCTCTTTTAAGGATAACTGAAAGAGTATTTACTGTTGTAGCAGAAGTAGTAACTTGGCAGCTACTCCTTGAAATTGCTATTACATCCTCCTCGTTAACTTCATCTCCGCTGAAAGACACATACTTCTACAGTATTGTAGAACTTAAACCAGTGAATTGAAACAAGTGGTTTTTCCATAATTTTTTGATTAACTTTGTCCTTTTTTTGCCTTAGGACATCAGCGCCTTTGAGAACAGAATGTTAATGCTTGATGGGATGCCGGCAGTCAGAGTCAAAACAGAGCTGCTGGAATCTGAGCAAGGGGTAAGCAGAGGTTTGTGTGACCTCACTCTGGTAACCCTTCCCCAGCTTCTCTGTGGTTAGCTGTCCCTCCCATTTTCTTTTCTATGTTTTCCTTCATTTCTGCTGTTCTGGAACATATTTTCTCGGGACTTGTACTGGTGAGCATCTAGTCTGATCTGCTGGGAGCACAGAACACAACTCTGCAGAGCACTTACTAAAGTCGTCTGGGATAGCTGGGATGCTGTTGGTGTAATTTTACACTAATAAAAAACGGCGCAGTTTAATTTTAAAAAAAAGGAAAAAAGAATAGATTTCAGTAAAGGAAACCACATGTCTGGGAAGTCCATGTATGTATGTATGTATGTATGTGTCTTTGCTGTTCTGCCTTCTTGGGATATTTGCCTTACTGCAATTGTTTAATCCTTTTTATGCTCATCCTACTCCATTTTCTGTTTATGGAAACCTGCTCTCTCTCTGGTGAAATGCACTTTTTTATCATTAATATAAAGGACTAAAGCTGGTATCACATCAGCTGCTGAATGTGGTACAGATCACGAATTGGATTTCGATTTTTTATGCAGAACTTGGTGTTGGAGTGACAGCTTTTAGGAACATGGGAGGGTATTTTCTTGGAAATGTGGTATCAATGATTGTAGATTACAGCAAGGGTATCTGTTCAAGTGAATTTTTTTTAATAATGAAACTTTGTTTCCTTCTGCACATGGTATGTAATTCCAAAGAGTCCAAGCCACTTTACTAATCTGAAGACAGATGCCTTCAACAAGCAGCCTAATAGAAGCAGCAATGCTATTGCCTTGTAGAAATGGGCTTTTACCTAATTCTGTTACTTGGCTTTTCCCCTTTCTGCTGTTTTTTCAGTTATTTAATTGAGAATTTGAATGATATAGAAAAGAGAGAATTAACTTTCAGGATGACTTAATTTGAAATACTTGCAAGGAAATACCGGTTTTTCAGGGTGTTTTTGAGGCTTTAAGTTTCAGAGGAAGAAAAAGGTTGGCATTTAATCGAGTTCTTGCTCACCTCTGTCTTCTTGAGAGCAAGAACCCTCAGAAATTACTCCAGTATCAATGTAGTTTGTGAGAATGTAAAAATTGAACTATTGTGTGAGCTGAGATGATGAGAAGAGAGATACATTCATTTTTAATACCTTCTGGATGCTTTGCATTATGTCTTTTTATGTAACAGAGACGTTTCTGTGTAGTGTTCAGAAGACAAGGGTTCCATTGCCATTTGCCTTTGTTCAGTATAAAATGAATTCTGTGCATGATACATATTGCTGGGTCCTTTATGAAGAGTACTTCTTTAGCAAACTGTGAGTTGTTTCTGGAAGACCTGCTTGGTGTCTTAGGAGCTGGAAGGAAATGAATAATCTATATAATTTTTTAATTTCCTTAGACCTTTTAAATAAAATTTTATGGACTTCTGTATAAGCAGAAAATTATGTCACTTTTTCCCCCAGTGACTGAGCCATTGGACAAAGAGCTTGTTTGATTTTGAATTTTATGCACTTTAGTACTAATTAAGTAGTGTCTGGTCAACAGTCTCTGGCACCTTTATGATTCTTCATTAGGGAACAATCAATAAATACAAAATGAATTCTGCAGTTCACTGGCAGAGGAGCTGGCCGTTAGGATGGCAATTTTCCAGCAAACAGCTTAAACTCTGAAGAGAGCTGGTTGAAACAGATGTTTGGCATGTACTTCGGAGACTGCTTTGAATGTAGATGTTGGTGTACATAACAGGGACAAGTGTTTGAAGGATGTGATTACCAAAATCAGCACGTGGAGCTATTTGGGAAGATGAATATCATAACTGGGAAGCATGGAGTGGGAACTAAAGTGTGATCCAAGTAGTAGGAGTTAGAAATTGTGGTGTCTGTGTTGTTATAGCGCCCCAAGTCCCTAGATTTGCCCCTCCATCGCAGCATATGTGTGTACAGGGAGATGCAACTTCTTCTTGAAACTTTGGGAGCTAGGATGGCGTTTTGAGTCTTCTGAGCATAACGGCCAAAGCTTCATCACTTAAGAGCTGAACACCAGACAAACTCTTCCAAAATTCAGAGGAAGACATTTGGGTTTTTGCTGTTTTGGCTTGGTATCAGCTGTTGGCTCTAGGTTTGCAAGGACAAAAGTGAGACATGGGTTAAGGATTATGTAAAAATGGTTTCATCTGTGATTGGAGAATCATGAAGGCAAATATCAGTTGTGGAGGATGAAAACCAACAGGGTCAGGAGCACCAGTAGCCCTTGACCAGGATGGTGGGCATTGTCTATCAGACCAGAAAACATTGAGTTGTCATGCTTGCCCATGAGGCTTTGGGGCCCTGTTGTCTTAGAAGTGGTACAGGACCACTTTGAGTTGTCGCCTGTTTTGGTCTGAGCCCATATTTCAAATAAACATCTTCTTAATTTTAAAGAATTTTTTTAAGGATACGTTGTTTTTAAGGATACGTGCCTGTTCCTTGTAGGTATGTTGAATGCTTTTCTGCAGGACACGTGAATATGTCATCCAGAAAAGGTGTTTTCTCTGTGGTTGTGCCTTGGATAACTCTACCTTGTGATTCATAGCTTCCAAGGTGGGCTTCACACACAGAACCTTGCTGGGGGATTTTGGGTGTTGTCTGGCCATTTATGAATGCAGGACTGTGTTGCACACCCAGCTGGTCCTCCCTTGACCTATTTACCAAAGAAATATAAAATAACCCAGCTAAGAATTCTTGGTAAAATGAAAAAGGATCATTCCAGTAACTGGACAACGTTGAAGTAAAAAAAACTCAGAAGGAGCATTCCCCCCTGCAGCACCAAAATCAAAGTTTTTATAGAAATAACACCAGCTTTTAACCTTGAGTTACTTTCTCACTTACTTTTTGTGACATACGGTTGTGAAAAGTGTGCCATGTGGCCATGCACATTTCATTCATAAGAAATTCATCTTCCTTGTACTGCTCTGGGCAACTTGGCCTTCACCAGGTTGTCTCGACTGTGTATGGTGGTAGCAGAAGTCATGTATGATGTAGATGAGAACCAGGACAGAGCAGATACTAGCAAGGCAATCAATCCGTTATATTCCCTTGTTTCCTGTTTTAATTTGGAGACTTCAGTCCTTTTGCAAAAGAGGTTAAGTATAATATAAGATTCTTCTCTGCCATTTGTGCATGAGCTCCAAGATCTTTTAACTTCTGTGTTATGTGTTTTGTTTTGTTTCATGATTGCTCTTTTGCTGTATTTGGGTGCTCAGTCCAAGCTTGGTCTGATATCACTGAAAAGTTTAAGTAGTTTTCTTAAAAAAGTAGTCCCAGCCATTACACTGCACAAGTGTTACTTATTTAGAGCAAGTGAAGGTGAATTTGTAATGCAATACTACAGAAGGAGTAAGCAAAGAAACTGTAGCCCTGGGAGAATGAAACGGCGTGAGGTACTCCTGGCTGCAAAGCAGCCCAGCCTCTAGCTGAGTCTGAAAGGAAATTGGAGCTGGCATTTCAGCTATGCCCCATGCACTAGGTCCTTGGAGCCTGTGACTGGAGAAGAGGTGAGCAGGACTCTGGAACTGCAGCCTGTGTTGGTGTAGTGAAGACAAACCTTTACCAGCCCTGGTTTAAGACACTGAGTTGAAGTTAGGTCATTGTGGGAGGCTAGGGTTTAGGCAGTCTATAAGGAAGACATGCCTTTTGAGGTAGAGGTTACTAGTCAGATTTGGAACAAAGAGGTATTTACAAGGGAAATAGATTTTTTTCTTTGCTTTGGAAAAACTTAAACCAGTTCTGCATTGTTTTATTGTCACCAATTTACAGTAGTTTAATGCTTTTTAGAAGGCCATCAGCATTAGCAAGTGCACATGCTTATTTTTCCAGTGAGCTACTGTCCTTAATTTTGCACAGGAGATTTAATGCAGTCTATTGTTTGAGGCTTCAGGAAGACACAGTGCTGCTTTAATGATTTTATCACAAATGAAAAAAAGACATTACATAAAAGATATTGCATCGCCCTTTAACAAGGCTTCATTATTATCTCCCCTACTGTGGAACAGGAGCTAGCATTGCTAATAAATTGGGAGAATTACTTTAGAAATATGAATTTGCTTATCATTTAATATCCTCCAGTGACCTGCAACTTTAGATCTTTTTGGCTGAAGTGAAATCTTTCTCAGTTACCAGCTTCAAAAAAGGACATGAAGAAGAAGGTGGTCCTTCTCCATGAGGCTGAAGGTGGGGTACTTGAGCAAAAAAAAAAAAAAAATCTTCATTCTTTGTGTCAAAAAACTATTCTGGGAGTAATACTTCTTATTGCAAAAATGTGTGGAAGCTGGATTAATGTATTGGTAATAAAGACTGGGCTGAGAATTTAATAGCTGGTGGCTATTATTAAGAATTTAGGGTGTATAAAGCCAGTGTTGACTGGCTTTAGTGTTGAGTCTGCTAGTCATTGGAGAATGTGGCCCATTTTCTAAAAATTGGTAAATGTTTGCAACTTGGTGTTCAGTTGCACTTTTTCAAGTATTTGCTGAGTTGGCCTGTAAGCTGTTGTTAAAAGGAGATATAAATGTGGGACTTAGATCCCACAATCAATCTTCAAATACAGAGAATGATGAACTGCTAATTTTCATCAGTCTTTTTGTTTCCAGATCTGCAGTCTCATCTGTTCCTTTGCCTACATTATGTTCTCTCAAATAATCACTGGAGGATTATATATCTTACTCTGAAGTCTCCTCCTAATTCTTCTTGATCCGTCTACATTCAAATGACTTATCATGACTGAATTATGAAAAGAAATTATTAAAATGACAAAACCCTTTAATAAGCCAATATTGTTCCATGTCTTTCATAGCCAGCCAAATTATCTTCTTGTCTCATATCTGAAAAATGCCATCCATCCTTACGTTGTTCTATTCATAAACATGTTTTACCTCAGCCTGGGTAATACTGACATACATCTCTTATTTTAAAGATTTCCAAAAATACCAATACCTATTCACATTCAGTTGAGAACAGTCTCAGTAACAAA